CACAACACATTTCAACACGGATATCCATAAAATCAATAAGAAATGAGGCTGAATTTTACATTTTAAAAAGCAGGGCTATTCCAATGGAGACAAAAGGAGATTTAACGAAGGGATTTAATTCATTGTGCAGTGTCAACAGATATGATTTGGTTTGAGCTAAGATGGAGTTTACACAGGGTAGCACTCCACTGCAGTGGCCATGTTCAGTATGGATCCCAGGGCTAACTTGAAAGGTAATCCAGGCTGAAACATGACCTCTTCTTTGTTAGTACAGTAGCTACCGGCAATCCATTTGTACACAAGCTACACGGATGAAGCAGAATTACCAGATGTTGGCAAAGCCTGTGACGTGGAGCTCTTGAGTGGCTTGTCTGGTAAACTCATTCACTCCAGAGTACAGGATGTGGCCAGCAACCTAGTGAACCCAGATCTGAATCCAGGCTTTGCCAGAAACTGATTCGAAGCATAGCACTGGGGGATAGGCATGTTAAAGTGTGCAGGACATCTTGGGCTCTCCGGCAAGTTAGCGTTATCCTACATTAGTGTTGATCACTCCCTTTCTGACCCAATAGCTGTGCTGTCTGTGTTCCAGAAAAGCAGTCTCTCCCATTCCTCCGCCACATTTACACCTACCAAGCGTTCATGCCTTATATATTGCACATGCTTAAGGGGATCTGCATTTCTTCAATAATGTTGAATGTCCTTGAACCATTTGCTAAACGTTTAATAGGCACTTCAGACAAATGGGTTTCTTTACAAGAGACTGTTAATACAAACTTGGTGAGATCCTGATTGTTCTTCCTCTGAGGTGGAGAATAATGACACAGAAAATGGGACACCAAACTATTAGACAGTACTGTGCAACCCAGCTGCAGCCTCTCAGGTAGTGACATCAGCCACAGCTGCAGGACTGTACTTCACAGTGCGTCTCAAAACTTCATCTGGCAGTTGGAAAAGTGATTATACACACAGATGGTTTTTAAAAACATTAGATCAGCTGTTGGGTGTCCCTTGAAAAGTACAGTCACGCCAATTAATCTGTCTCTAATTCTGTCAGCATTACTGTGGTGTCCGATATTTACTTACAGCCTGTCAGCATTGTCGGCACCATCTTATTAAAGCCGATGATTTACACTCATATGTAAATACATATGCAATGTATCATAATTTTACAAGCTTTTGTACGGATAAGTGCATCTCATAGCTCTTAATTTGTTTATACCTCAGGGCAACTTAAACATGACAGTTGTGTGTGTGTGTGTGTAATGGTATATTCGATGCACACAATTTTAGTTTTGCTTAGATACTGCAGTTTTATCACTGTTTTTCTTATTTAAATATCCCTGGTGGGGAACTTCCACAAAGACTTAAGACTGACAATAACCAGAGACACGTTCTGGTTTAGGAAAGCTTTTCTTCGCCTGTTATCTTTGTGCATTAAGTATCTCTGTCCTGCCTCTGTTTGTTTAGGAGGCTGTGTTTTTTTGCTAGTCTTATCTGAAAGAGCACTAATGGAAACTGTCCTAATCCAGCTCCTTGTTTATGTTAGGGCATAACTCAATGTGTTGGCATCTATACTTTTACTGACTACTCTGTAATTCAAGCTTGGTTTCTCAAAGTGCAGGCCTCTGTGTATTGAAACCCTAGCAGTTTTTTTGTGCTTCTTCTTAATAGTATTTTAAAGAAATAGCCCTATGGTAAGTGCTTGTTAAAATGTGAACTTCCTCATATATATATACAAGTAAGAGGTCAAATTAAGTTATGTTGATAAATGTTGTAAAATGCATGCTCTTTTCCTGTAGTCTCCAGTTTGACTGCAGACTGCTTACAGCTGGGATATATCACACCGTGGGGTCTAGCCTCTTACTGGAAACTCCATCCATTTAAAAAAAATTCTCAACATGCAAGTAATTTCTGGTTTTTCACTAAAAAAGCAATTTGTGATTTTTTTTTGTGTCTTGCTCTGGGACGTGGAGACAAAGAAATGGCTCTTTAAAAGCTGTTATGTAATCTGTTTAGTCCTCAAGGTTAACACCACACTCCGGAAGAAAAGAAAAAAAAAACAACAAATCCAGGTAATCTAGAATAGATGCAGCAATTCCCTCAAATTGGTTTCTGGTAGAGCATCTGCAAGTCATTGTATTTCACCAAAGTGCCCGAACAAAACCTCCATTTGTAGTTTTTTCCTTCATTAGGTATGTCACTTAGCAGACACTGTTGCTTGTGGTTTAACTCTTTGCACGTTGTGGATAGAAGGCTCTATAAAGTTGTCATGGCAAGATTTGGAAATAGAAGAGTGGGATTAGAAAGCTCCCCTTGGGACGGCCAACTGGTGTGATGTGGAGAACAGCCAGTTTGTGCGGATGAGAAACCCGGAGGCTCCAGAGGAATGGTGCTCCGTTCAAGCTGATTTTAATACTGTAAGGGTCATCGGGTAAAATTGGGTTTGAAGAGCGCGATCAGCTTAATGACTGTAAAAGAAATCGTTATAATGAACAAAAACTGTACATTAAAAACGGATTCAAAGGGCAGGCAATTATTGCAGGACTAATGATGGTGTAGCTATCGGAAAGCACAAGGAAGGTGCCCGACAGTGCTGTTTGATGCCAGTTCACAGCTGGACAAGAAGTGTTGACCTTGCCTACTGCTTTAGTCTTTAAATGCGCAGTGTTGTGCTTGGCTTGAAAACCATTTTAATACAATGGTGCAGTCAGACAGAGAAACCGGTTATCAGCAGAGTCCTGGCATCTTAAGATGTTCTTCAGGAGATGAAAAAAAGGATCAGGCTACAAGTGTTATACTAATGTTTCTAAATGTCCTTCACCCAGCCTCGTTTTTTTTTATTTGTAAGACTCAAAGGATGCATAGTCTAATCTAGAAACAACTGAGAACTTTATCTACAGTAATTAATCTTCCCTGTAGCAAAGTTTCACAAATGTTTCACTGTTGGATATTTCAGGATCACTGCCTTTGGACCTCTTTTTGTGCTTCATGATAAGACGTGTCTTTGACGTTCTAAGAAAAAGCACAGTAGTCATTTTTGTACTTTGTTTTAAATTGCATGTGATGCCACAGATTTTGCGTTTAAGTCAAGGGGAAGCTTCCAATAGTTTAAGGGGTATAATTCATTTGTCTGTGATACCTGATTAAATTGTGGTGTTTAAAATAATATTAAATGTTAGTTATTCACCCCTCGTTTTCATTGACAATCAATAGAGTGACTTTTTTTAGTTATGAAATTCTTCAGTTTTTAGTGCATGGCCTATTTTACATCTTACAATGTATCAATATAATAACAGACATGGTTTAAAAATATACTTATTGTTTGTCATATGCAAATGAACTTTCTTCTGCGGTGGTACTCTCTTGTTTTTAAATGTCACCCTCTTAAATCTGATATTTTGTTTCATTTTTCTTTTACTTTGACTAATGTTAATTTAATCTTTTTGTTTCTGGTGGCTTGGAAAACTTTTATGAGTCCAATGTTTAATTATGCTTTTGATGAGTGAAACATTATTAGATCCTATTAGAGCCTATTGATGCTTGCAAGGTAATCTGATCTCTGGTGCTGATGTATCCGTTTAAACAGATGTGAAGGGAAATTCTTTAGGGATTTGCGTTTTCCTTGTAATTCAGTAAGTATTTGTCTTCGGTTGGATGGAGTGTTAAATTTAAACCGTGTGAAGAAGAAAGTTCAAAGCAAATTTTCCAATTAAAATGAATAATTATTTATGTATGGATTATTGGATTATTGTGTATCTGGTATAAAACTATCTATCATGCTGTACCCTGTATGCAGTGATCCAGGCTAAAAATTAGACAAGTAGACACAGATTTCTGAATGAAATATACTTAAACAGTTTAGATTGTTCTTAGATTAAAAAATAGCGATAACAGCCCGTAATGAATTAGATACTGTGGCACTGTTTAGTCTGCAGTAATCATTATGGGGAAGGTATAAAGACACACAAAAAACTATCAGTGTACAATAAACAGCTACAGAGTGTTTAAAAGTGAGAAAAACAGGCTTCACTAATGCTATATTAATAAACTTCGTCTCCAGCCTTCCAGTGGTCATGGAAAATGGCCTTGCAACTGTAACGAAGGAATCTCATTTTTAAATGCGCTAACGAGCATCTAGCAAAGGAGAAAGGGTCGCTTAATTCTTCTTACTTGTACAAAAATAAGGAATCATTTTTCAGAGCTCTCAGGCTTCCATTTTAATTCCTCTCCAGTCTGGTCTCGGGTGTTTTTCTTTCTCCCCAGGGGACAAGACTTGTGGCTATGCTCCAAACTGCGCTGTTAGATTGGCCTTTTTTTAAGATAGTTTTCTGGCTCTCCAATAATTTCTTCATTAGAAATCAACAACACAAAAAGTTCCTTCTTGGTAAGGTATTGAGCCACTGCCAATAGAGGCCGTAACAGCTGTACCACAGTTTAAACATTTGGTCTCCTGTGACTTGGGGAACATTAGGTTTTTAAAGCTTCAACAGGTTTTGAGTAAACATTCTCTACCAAAGTCTTGCTCTTCCCCTATATTTGGTCTTTTACAACTCTGATTCCCAAGAATGTGTTCCTTGAATTCATTATAATCGGCAGTGTTGAGCTAATGGCATGGTCATAAACAGTCTTTGTTCGAAGTTTTGATAATCAGAGTACTGTTCTGTTCCAAGACTGCAAAAGCAGATCTATGTGTTATGTTGGAAGAAATTTTAGATGGTGTTAGGCATGGACCTGAGATTTTTGGCATTTACTTGCAGGTTACAGTGACAACAAGGGATTGTATCAACAAAATTGCGTCACACACAATCCCATAGTTAGGATTTGTGGATATGTTTCATGCTTGGAGTCAAGAAATGGAGGCAGTTCTTTAATGAGTGTACTGTATATGTTGAATGTATGTCTCGTCTGTGTTCTTGCTGTACCGATGGCAAATCCCACCAACTATTGCTGTGGGGCAATAATGATTAAGCGAATCTAATGTTTGTCGCCCTCTACAGATGCAGCAGCTGTTCTATGAAAACTATGAACCCAACAAGAAAGGGTACATCCGAGATCTTCACAACAGCAAGATCCACCGGGCCATCACCCTGCATCCCAACAAGAACCCCCCGTACCAGTACCGCCTGCACAGCTACATGCTGAGCCGCAAGATCGCGGAGCTGCGCCACCGCACTATCCAGCTGCACCGCGAGATCGTCCAGATGAGCCGCTACAGCAGCACCGAGGTCCGCAAGGAGGACACGCAGCTGGGCATCCCCCCCTCCTTCATGAGGTTTCACCCTCGCCAGCACGAGGACGTGCTGGAGTGGGAGTTCCTCACCGGCAAGTACATCTTCTCCGCAGCCGACGGCCAGCCCCCCAGGAGGGGCATGGACTCCTCCCAGAAGATGGCCCTGGACGACATCGTCATGCAGGTGATGGAAATGATCAACGCCAACGCCAAGACCAGGGGCCGCGTCATTGACTTCAAGGAGATCCAGTACGGCTACCGGAGGGTGAATCCCATGTACGGCGCGGAGTACGTCCTCGATTTGCTTTTGCTCTACAAGAAGCACAAGGGGAAGGCCATGACTGTTCCCGTCAGGAGACACGCCTACTTGCAGCAGACCTTCAGCAAGATCCAGTTTCTGGAAGAGGAGGAGATAGACGCCAAGGACCTGGCCAGCAGGATCAACCAGGACTCGGGTTCCCTGTCCTTCCTCTCTAACTCCCTCAAGATGTTTGTTCCTTTCAAACTCAGCGGGTCCAACCCAGAGCTCAAGGAGCCCAAGGAAAAGAAAATCAACATTTTGGTCCCGCTTTCAGGACGCTATGAGATCTTTGTCAGGTTCATGGCAAACTTTGAAAAAATCTGCCTCATCCCCAATCAGAACGTCAGGCTGCTGATCTTGCTGTTCAGCACGGACAACAATACAGAAAGAGTGAAACAGATTGAACTGATGAGAGAGTATCATATCAAGTACCCAAAGGCCGAAATGGAGATCAAGGCAGTGTCGGGCACTTTTTCCCGTGCTCTGGCCCTGGAAGTAGGCTCGTCCCTTTTCTCCAACGATTCTTTGCTTTTCTACTGTGACGTTGACTTATTGTTTACAGCTGACTTCTTGAAGAGGTGTCGGGCCAACACGATATTAGGAAAACAAACGTACTTTCCAATCATCTTCAGTCAGTATGATCCAAAGATCGTATACGCGGGCAAGGTTCCAAGTGACAACCATTACGTGTTCACTTCCAAAACTGGACTGTGGAGATACTATGGATTTGGAATTGTTTGTGTGTACAAAGGGGACCTGGTTCAAGCGGGAGGTTTTGACACCTCAATCCAAGGATGGGGTCTGGAAGATGTGGACCTGTTTAACAAATTTGTCCAGTCTGGGATCAAACAGTTTAGAAGCACAGACACTGGCATTGTGCATGTTCACCACCCTGTCATATGTGATCCTAATCTTGATGCAAAACAGTACAAAATGTGCTTAGGGTCCAAAGCGTCATCACATGGGTCTACACAGCAGCTGGCTGAACTGTGGCTGGAAAAGAACAACCCAGGGTTCCGAGGAGTTGGCAGTAGCAATAATGGATCAATGAGGACCGTATGAACCAGTCCGACCAGGTTTTTTAATGTCGAGGTTTTTATTGTTATTCTTAACTAATTTATTTTTTCCAAAAAAAAATGTTTTATAAAAGGCTGTGCGCGGATATATTTTAGAAGTATTTTTTCTAATACATACATAAAACCTTCCAGGATGACAAATTTGTGTTTTTTACAAAAATTAATGAAACACACCTTTTGCATTTTTTTTTGCGGATGAGCCTAAAACAAAGTTGAGCAGTGGAACAACAAATAGTGAATTGTTTAAGAAATTTGCTTTGTAGCAGATTGAGAAATCTTGACGGTTCCGTGTTTGAAAGGATGTAAAAAGTAAGAAAGCATCCTGGCAACTTTGTGTTACTGATGAGTTGTACTGCAGTTTTGCACTGCATTAAGAGACTGGATAAACGTCAAATGTGCCCTGATGGTTTTGTAATGTAGGACCTAAGACTGGGTTCTATATTGAAATAATGCTGAATCATATTTCAGAAGACAAGAGACAAGCCCCAATGCTGTGATTGCAGAAATCTGTTTTTGGCTTTAAGCTGCTTAGTTTGAGGGATGACCACCTGGCCATATGGACAAAGATGTCAGAACCTCCCCACTCCCTCAGTAAACCAAGGGGTTTGGAGGGCAGATGGGGGAAGTTAGTGTGATGAACACCAGGAAACAGTGGTCTAGAAACCTGTATTTATACCCCAGAGCCAGTAATCAGTAGAAGTTGGGGCCTGTCCTCCTCCTGAACTCTGATTATCTCCATAAAAATGTTACAAAAATATGAGATTTACATGCTGTTTATATATGTGGCAAGTCTTGGATTCTGAGAAGTGGTGTGAGGGTAAATGTTTTTTTCTTTTTTTAATGTTTACAGGAGGTTGCATGAAGTTAAAAGTTTCACTTCAATTGGGAATTATGGAAAGAAGAATAATGGTTATTAAGGACCATAGTTTTATTATTGATTCTTTTCTTTATTGGTTTTCACTTTTGACAATGCACAGTAACACTGAATTTTTTTTGTTATAGTTTCACCTTTTTATTTCTTCAAAAAATGAAAACTGTGGTTTGTTTCCTCAGTTAAGGCTGTCTAATTTATTGAATATTCATTCATAGTTTTTCTCTTTATCTGATCATCTGTTTATGTATTGTTACTTTTGTTATATTTGAAGGATTGTATAGCCTTCTTTTCACTGTTGTGGGTAGTGTTACTTCTTTTACAAAGTAAATTGATTTCCAAAGAGAGTTTTCGCAGCAGTTATGCGGTATTGTTTGTACATGTCGTTCTTCTGCTGAAGATGCCTACTGTAAACAGAGATCAGAAGAACAGTAGGACTGTAACAATCCTTGGGGAGAAACATTCACTGGTAGGTTTTTCTAATAATCCATGTTTTGAGAACATTGTAACTTGCCAGTTAAGGTGTAGTAGAATGTTCTCCTACCTCTGATTAAGAATCATTCTGGACCTTTACCAAAACTCCTCTAAAGTTTTTGTGAAGTACTTCTGCTAGGTAGTCAAAGGGTGTGCTCTCCCACAATACTCTTTTCTTTGTTTTGGGGGGCTTTGTTATTTCTGTTCTCTTCAAACCCTGTTCTTCTGGGGGGGGGGGGAGGGAGGGGTGGTTTTATATTTAATAAAAAATTAAACTTTTTCCACTGTTCTATTTATATTTTCTGTTTATGCTTATTGTTGTTGTTATGCTTTATAAATATCGTGTGGCACACAGACATTGAGATTCACATTGCTGTCTTATAACTCATGATTCTGAGCCAAGGATCCATCTGTGTGGAGTTTGCATGCATCCCCACCCCCCCCTGAGTTTTTCCTCTCCACAGTCCAAACACTGTGCTGTCCAGGTTAATCAGTGCCTCTGAATTTCTCCAGCCGTGTGCAGGTACTGTATGAGCGAATGTGTATGTGAGTGCCCTGCAATGGACTGGCATTTCTGTCCACACTACACCTTGTGCCTTCTAGGTTGGGTTCCAGCTCCTTGCCAACCTGAAAGGACAAAACAGTTCTGAATGGCATGAACAATCTGATGAGTTAATGGTTGCTTCTTGGGGAAAAAATTGTCTTTTTTGATCAAGCGATATGAAATTTTGTCTGATGTCAAACTGTATTACCCTGTTCTCCTACCTCTGAGGGTAGTATTTTTTTTTTATTTAAGCCATAAACAGATCAAAGTACTCCTAGGATGTTTGTATCTGCTGCAATGACCCACTACAGACTATTTCAGAGACTCCAGGCTAGGATCCTCAAATTTCAGGGGAGTAAAGGATCTTTCTCCTTTCTGCCTTTATAGAAAATATTTGTGAATCATAATTTTGCTGGCAGCGTGTGAAATTTTGATTATTGCCTAGCTAGGCTCTGTCATTATGCACTGTATGTCTAATAAAAAATATGGCAGCCGCTGGCTAGAAATGAAGATTGCAAGAGGGAAAGTAGCTGCTGATTCCTCGCTCCTAACACTTTTGTTTGACAGAATAATTAAGTGCTGCTTGTGGAAACTTTGCATGTTTTCTTACACTGGACCTGCCAGAAACAAAGGTCTAAAAGAACTCCTACCAGTGAAGGCTTTCACCCAAACTTCTCTGGCGCTCAAACAAAAGTGGAACTGAGAGTAGCCTTACATAACCACCTGGGACCATTACTTTGTGTGACTTTACTGACACCTCTACATTAATAGAAATAACTAGGGGGTCGATTCCAGCAGATACTCTATCCTTGCCTATGAATACTTAATAAATGTGTCTTTACTCATAAGGGGGAGGTGTCCTTATACGCTGTCCCATTTTCTCCCAGCAGTTGCCTTCAAAGTGTTAGTGCAACGGTCCGTCACAAACCTCTTTTTAATGAACCCCATCAACTTCAGCACAGTCTGGTGTTAGGAATCTTATCTGGTCTTCAAACTGCCCCCGAGCTTGTCATTAATTAAAAATGATCTGTGGACAGGCTTGCTGTTGGTTATTGAATTGTCCAGGTGGAACTCTGTTTTTAATTAAATGATCTTCCGTGTTAGGTTAACCTCGTTTGTAGCTGATCAGGCTTTTGCATAAAGCGAGAAGCATCAGGATGAAGTTGCGATCGATACCATCACTGAGGTACAACACTTCTCTACCGGCTGAGTAATTTGGTAAAGTATTTGAAATGATTAAAAAAAGGATTAAGTGGTTATATTCTAGATTAATAATTTTTAGCTACTATATGTAACTAATAGATGCACATTATGAACAATGGTCTCAGTTGGCAAGTAACTGCTTGAAAACATCCGAGTCTTCATTTTTTGTTGCATTTCCTCTCCTCCTTAGCAAAGGATTCTGAACACCTGCTCACCCCTGGAGACTGTGCACCTTACTGTTCTTGTAGAAATGTTAACTCTTCCACTGAATATTCCAGGTTCAATATTGATCAGCAGAACATTATTTTTTCCACAAGGAACTTCATTGGTGTTGCTGGGCGTATTCAAAACACATTCAGACATACAAAAAAATCCCTCATACATGAATGAACAGATCACACAGTATTTAGAAAAAGGTCACCAATCCAGTGAATTATATATATATACTGTATATTGATGTTACCCACTAATATTTATATTATAAAACAGGCAAATTAATTATAAGGAAGCTAGTGAAAAGGGGAAGGAGTTATGTTCCTAAATCTAAACATCTCCTGTTTTAACTATTAGTGAATGGGACATAGGGAAACTCTTAGAATTCAGCAGTCTAATGGACGAAGGCACGAGGCTAAAAAAAACCCAACATATTGTCTTACTAGACAGGGACCGTATCCTGCATCCAGATGGTTAAATAGCACATGGACTACAGAGGGGGGTGAGTTGGAGCAAGGAAAATATCATTGCCCTTTTTATAAATCTCACATAATATAGGTCTTTTAAACTATGCAGACTAGTTCCCACTATTGTGCTAACACCACTGTAGTTTTCACTACAGAGAGATTACTCTGAGGAACATTAATGGCACTTTTGAATAATATGGACTGTAGAATGGAAGAATGGTATCCAGCATTTTTCTGTTTTCTCCTTCGCCCTGTCCTGTTGTTACCAGCACCAGATTCACAAGCCCCCTGCACTGTTGCATACTGTACATCATCTCTGGGTGAAACAGTGGTTAGGTGACAATTTCTGCTAGGAAGTAGTCTTCATTAGCAAAAAATGTTCTTATGTGAGAATAACTCACTCCCATGTTAAACCTTTACAGCGGCATTACTGCCTGTTCTATCCAAGATTCAAGAAGCCCAGAACAGTTAAGAAAACATTAGCTGGGGGTTGGCAGGGAAATACAGTGGTAAGTCAAGGGCCAGTACTGTATGTGGTTTGCAAGGAAGATTATCAAAATTATATTATTAGGAATAAATGTCCACATCCCTCCATTTTTCCATAATTTCATCTTTTTAGAACATTATTTGCCTTTTCTTGTAACCTTTTCCATATGTTTCTGACCTTTTATGTGTATCATGTATGTATTAATTTCCAACTTCCTCCTGACTTCCTAGTGTAATAGATTGCATCCCCTGATTTAAAGCTTTCCTGTCTTAGCCTCCTGCCTGGGTGATGAAAGTACAATGATTTTGTTTGATTTTTTTTACCTCATGGTAGCCCCCCTGCAAATAGATGTCTAACCCACTGAATGTCTGCAGGAGAGCATAAACCTCTTGTCAAGCTACAATAACCAGTTTAGCCTCAATTCTCAAGAATTTGCTCAAGTTAACCCTATTGGAGGGCAATATCGAGCAGATGTCTTAGGAAATAACATTCTTTTTATCCTTAAATCATTAGCTTTATTTTGTAATTCCACTATTCTTTACTGTGAACTAATTTTCTATTAAAAAGGCAGTTGGCAGCATCTGAATTACTTTTTTAGCACATAAAATTATTTCTCACGATGGGCAGTTTTTTGGAAATTGCTATAGATTTCAGTACTGGTGAGCTGTACTTTTTATATTTTTTTCTTGCCATTTAATCTCCTTTTCAGTTTTGACAGTTTTTTTTATTAAAAGTTATACCAGTAGAGTGACAATGAGGAACACATGTAGCAACTTTATAACCTCTTTCTCCACTTTCCATGTTTTAACAAATACAGCTTCCTTACATTTTAGTTTTACTAGTGTGACGTAAATGAAGATTATTTTTTTTATGTGTAGCCATAAAGTGTCTGTCACAGATGCCATCAGTTAGGCTTTCTATAAAGACAAGATGTGAACTCATCATAACTGATCAGAAACTCCAGTCACAAAATATCCTTGTTGGGATTGTGTCCATACTCTAAATCTGCTCTTATGAATGGGGCCTTTGACCTCCCTCTGGGGTCCTGACTTTAGTGGCTACAGGTACTGATTATTTTCCTTCTTGCAGAAACGCAGAAAGGGACTGGAAGGATTGAGGGAAGGGTTATTGAGTGGAGTCCAGATGGGCCTTGCACGTGCAGACCACAACAAGCCAAATTAATTGTCTCTTCAGCAAAATACGCAATAATTTCAAATTTAAAACATACCTGTAGTCATCTGGGTTTCATAAAACTCAAAACCAGAATGACACTATCACTGCATCCCTTAGAATGTAATTGAAGTAATTGGGAAGAAACTACTAGTGTTAGCTCAATCCACTAACATTAACAATTGATAATGCATGACATACAATGATTAGAAAAGTCTAAATCCTTTGACAGAAGGAGCCTGATCTTAGGAGGTGTTAAAATCTTTCTTTTTCTTCAGGCCATACAGTATATAGTAGGTATCCCCTAGAGGAGTAATTCCTACTCCAGTCCTGGGACAAAACTCCCAATCCTGGTTTTTGTTCCATCTGAGCTCTAAATCACCAGTGCCGATGCCTTTAATTTAATCTCCATGCTTAAGACTGTAGTGTTATTTTAAAAAATATTCTACTTTAAGTACACTGTTTCAAACACCTACAGCACATAGAATCTTAAGCTGCCTCTGCTTAATTGTTTATCCGTATTTCTGTCTAAACTGATCTTAATAAGTGGCCAGTTTATTCAAAATCACAGGTTGGAATGACGTTGTCGGATATTCCCACTATCTCTTGTTTTCTTGTAGCTTTCACTGACATCCAAAACCAGAATGTTATATTGCAAGCACCGTGCCTGAATGAGGAGACCAGTAACCTGACACTTTCTAATTAGCACACAGTTGATACCAATTACAGATCCAATTAGACTTTTTAAAGAGCTGAATGTAAATTTAAAAATGTCTCTCCCCCAGAATACTGAAATCAATGCTCCAATCATTATGAAGGGAGCTGGAGCAAAACCGAGGAGAGACATTGGAGCCCCCCCATGACTGGGATTTAGAACCACTGCTCTAGATCCATGACATACAGAAACCCCCCAACGCAGGACTTGCTAAATTTAAGACCATCATCCCAGTTGTCTTGCTTCATTTTAGTGGAGTAGAAGCAGAGGGGATTTTACTTTTAAACTAACAGATTTAAAAGAGGCAGTGAGAGTCATAGCTCGAGTGTGAAACAACAGCAGAAACTGTTTAGACTGGTATTGATTGTCTCCACTCATTTAACGGGTCTTTCAAGGGATTGCTTACTTTGTAGTTCAATTCAAC